CATTATTCCGACGGAGCTCAGAAACACGATCCGCTTCTAACAATGGTCGCGGCCAGACTAACCGATGCACGTGAATGAAACTTTGTGTGACGGTAGAGGGAAGTCCAAGGGTCAATGCCCTACCCTCCTCTTCGTCAATGACGTGGCCGGAAATGAGTCATAAAAGTAATCCGGGTTCTTTATTGCCACACCTTGTACAATCTATGAAATGTCTTTTACATATACACATATTGTGACAGATGTATCCTAGGTCAGTTTTTATTTGAAACTGCACAACACTACTGTATAAATTTTGACTTGGCTCAATGAAGAAAAATCTGAAAACAACATGAGAATGCTTGGGGCTTCTGGGGTTTTGACTTTTTTCCATTGTCTGGTAATCTACAGAACACAACATTTTTTTTTAACTGGATCTGTTTCCAAACTCAGATGAGGGGGTGGGAAACACCTACTCTGTTGGGTCCAACATGAAATGCTAACCTCATTTACTTGGAAACTATAGAAGTCAAAATTATGCACTGAAATGGATTAGTAATTGTATATTATCAGTCTGTTGAATTCTTTACCATAAGTATTGAAATCTTTAAAGAAGACCACATAAGAAATTCTTGTTTCATATTGTGGATATGCATATAAATGGTTAGAAACTGAAAGCAATGAAAAATAAGCTACACTGTTTTATGTAAAGTGGGCAGACTGTTACAAGCCAAACACTAACCTGTCATTTCTTTTGGCTTATTTTGAACTTCATCCATCGTCTGGTATATAAAAGACAAAAGACCACAACGTCCAGTGATCGAGACTAGCTCTTTCTAACGGGCCCAACTGAGTAGGTTATCCTTCCCCACCCACCTGAAGACGGAGACAGATCCAGTATCTGAATGTCGTGGTCTTTTGTCTTTTATATACCAGACAATGGATGAAGTCCAAAAGAAGTACAGTATACACCATCGTCAGAATCCTTTCAAGTCGTAACTAACCTGTCATCTTCTTCATCTTCAAGAGATTGTGGTTCTTTTGCATAACTGTTTCTAGCAATTGACTGTTCTCAATCTTGAGCTGTTCAAAATCAATTTGATGTAAGTTTTCACCAAGCACTTCCTTCTGCTCCACTAGCTGATTCATGCGTGTGAACACAGAGCGCAGTGTACTTGTACGAAGGCGCAGCTTCTCTATCATTGAGTCTGCTTTCTTTAGCCACTCTTCTACATGCCTGCTTCAACAACAAAACCAACAAAGCATGTGCAGTCTGCTTTGGATAAGTAAACACTGCCTAGAAGAGCACTGATATATGAGTTCATCCAAATACACTAAAAAGGAGGCAGACTAAGTTAAAAATTGAATGATACAAACTCCGTCCCAAGTGCAAACAATATATATTATATGTCTTTGATCTTGTTCCTTCTACACTACATGTTTCGGCCTCTATCGGCCATCATCAGGTGTATACTCTTAACGTTGCTGCCACACTGAACCCAGTCTAAAATTTAACATTTAAAAACACAATGTCACTTTCTTCGTATTATCAACATCTACCTCATTGATATGTGTCTGGTATGTAGATTATATTGCACACGTCAAATTTGATATTCCTGTAGTAGCGCTATAAAATCTTTAGTTATGATGTTTTTAAAATCTTTAAAAAAAAAATTTCTCTCTAAATTTAAAATTTAAAATTNACTGGGTTCAGTGTGGCAGCAACGTTAAGAGTATACACCTGATGATGGCCGATAGAGGCCGAAACATGTAGTGTAGAAGGAACAAGATCAAAGACATATAATATATATTGTTTGCACTTGGGACGGAGTTTGTATCATTTATCGTGTAGAGTGCAACAGGATGCTTAAATATAATATTAAAAATTGAATCCCAGTCCTGAACTTGTGCTCTAGGAAATAAAGAGGAATAGATTAATGAGGACAGCATAAAAGAAGTGGATATATATGTTTCATGTACGTATCATGCTTCAGTGGACACTCTTAATTTTAATAAACTAAATATGGTGCTTACAGTTATCAGTATTTTGAGAACTATAAATATACCCATACAATCATGGATTAAATTCTCAGCTTCATAAAGGGGCAAGCCTGGCAACATTAAAAATGATGTATGTCATGAATAATTTACATGACTCTGTTAGCAAAAGAAACTTTGCATGAATAACTGGATATGAAACTCTGGACTTAAAATATTAAAACATAAATAGTACAAAATATTGTAGCATGTAGACCCGTTGCTGGGTAATGGGCATGAAACAACACCTGTTGCTAGGGCAGCAGATTCTTAATAAACGGGGTTAGACAACTCTCTTTCTGGGCAATGGCTCTGTAAACACATTTCCGTGGCAACCGATACTAGTGCAACAATAGAAGAACGGTTTTTCTATGTGGCCCTTGCTCAGTTGTTATAGCCACAACAGTTTGAGAAATGAGCTCAGTTGTGGAGTGTTAGCCAGCAGGCAATGAAGTGAGCACAAAAGCTGAAGAATCTCCATTGTTAAGATCTGTTATGAGGAATCTACTACTGAAAGCAGACAGAAGATTTATCATGTGCTCTAGTTATTTGTAAAGTGTGTAGATCAGCGATAGCATTGTTAAGTGCTTGTAGTTCTGAATCATGTGTGTAAGTGGTCAATAAATCCATTCACCAATCCAAACCCAATCTATATTCACCCCTAAATCAAAACAATATATTGCACAGGCTTTATCACATACATTGGTAAAATGTGATAAGGTATGTAACAGATATTCTTTTGGGACAATGGCTGTTCCAGTATTACCATATAGAAGTGAAATGGGAGTAGCAAAGAAGAAAGACAACAAATATTCAGTTTAAAAAAATGAAATTTTTTAGGTCACTCAAAGGAAATTAGGAATTATGAAGAGAATTAGAAATATATTCAATATAATACATGACCTGGTGCTTAGAATATCTGCCTTTCATTAAACACCAAAAGGAAGAAGAGATACTGACTGTTCAAAAAGTGATGAGATGCTAAAGCCAAAATGGGATGAATTTCTATGTGCTAAAGTGTAGAAGATGATACTGTACTGCAGGACTGCTGGCTATGAGATATAGCTAATGTATGAAACCCTATTTTTAAAAAATGTCGTCTCTATCATTAGTTGCATACTACCTTAGGAGAACATACATACAGTACAACCTTGACAATTCGGCTATTAAAACACTGGTGTGTTCAGATTATTGTATTTTAAAAATTTGGAATTCTCAGTAAATCATTTATTCATAAGATTTATATGTGCACTCTATAGTGTCACATGTATGAGTGGCTATGGATGAGGTTTGGCTTGGTAATTGGATTTACTGAATTCTTACAGATCGCAACTACAAGTAACTATAGCGCTATCACTAATTCACACATGCTGCAGTTCACTACAGCATGCACCGAGTCTTATCAGTCTGCTGTGCCTTCACCAGTCATCTAGTAACGGCTGCCAACAGCAGACGTTCCCCTTCCTCTGGGTTCCCAAACTACTTTCATGCCTCAGCTACCACCTTCTAACCACAACAGCTGACAAGGACTGAACCACATTAGTCCTCTAACTCACTCATTCACCAATTAATTTTCTCCACTCTGCTGTACTGCACTGCACTTCACTAACTCAACTGAACTTGGTTGGTTGTCATATAGCCTCAGAGCAGACCCACAGAGAATGCCACTGGTAACATCTCTTCTATTGTGTGATGTCACTGCACATGTGACGCATTCCTCTGCTGCTTGTGTATGGGCCATTACCTAGCAATGGGTGTTGTTTACAGAGTCATTGCTTAGCAATGAGTCTACATGCTACAATATTATGAACATTGGTTATACACCAGCTTCAGGCCAAGTGATGGCTGGGTTACATCTTTCACCACTTAGAGAGAGGCAGATTTAGAATGAAATTTGTAATTTCTGAAGATACTAGGGTTTTTCTTGGAGAGGCAGTGGGGGGGGGGGGGCCTATATGTCAGTTCATATTAGCATGGGTTCAGGCTACTGTATACAGTTTTATTTTCAGTATGTGTGAAAAATATGCGCTATGACTGGAATCCTGTTATCAGATATAAAAAAACAGTTGTTGTCTTGTTTAGCCATTTAATGTAATGCATAATTTTCTGCTTAGTAATGTCAAACAACAATGTACACCTTCTTTTATTGAACTGAAATAAATATAAAAACAGGTAACAATTATTTTAAATCTGAATTTTTTATTTCATTATGTTTGATATAATTTTTTACCGATCTATGTAAAGGAACCAAATCATGTATCCATCTAGCAAGTGTCACATAACTTCGAACAAGGCAAGAATAACCTTGAATGCACAGAAGAAAAATTTCAGACAAGGGGGTGGGTTCGAGGGTGTGACAGCATCTGTTTATAAACATCAGTTTCCTTGTGCACTAAGTCATACATAATGAGTAATAAATTATGTCAGGGTATAGGTCTACACTCACAGACGAAGCAAGTAATTGCAAATGTATGTAATTACTTAAAGAGACTAGCAGATAGTGGAGCTGCTGTAAACTTAAATTCAATCCCGAAAACAGTATGTGAAGCTACAGGAATCGGCGTACTGCACTGAATGAAATTATTCGAAAAGAAAAGAGCTTAGAAGAGGGCACTTTCTTTGACTCACCGACCAAGAAATGTAAGGAGAAACCTGTAACAGAAAGTGATCAGTTTATAGAAGACACCATCAGAAGAATGATCTATGACTTTCATAAAACAGAGGGCGAAAGAATTACCATGCCCAAACTTCACAAAAAAATGGTAAGAGACATAAAATTTGAAGGAAGTCTTCCTAGTTGCAGGAGAATTGTTCACTGGCTTGGTTTTCGTTGGAGAAGGACGAGGGATAATAGAAAAACAGTGATTGAAAGGCATAACACCCGTTCTAAATGCCTTCATTATCAGCGGACAATCAGGCAATATTGCAGAGAAGGTCAGCCTGTTGTGTATGTCGATGAAATGTACTTGCACAGCAGCCACACATCATCATACTCCTGGGATGACTCTCTAAACAAAACACTCTCCTCTCCTGTTGCCAAAGGTCCACGGGTAATTATTGTACATGGTAGTGGTAAGCAAGGTTTTGTGGAGAAAGTTTTGCTCATGTTTAAGTCAGGCAGAAAAACAGGAGACTACCACCACAAGATGAATTCTGGAAATTTTGAGAAGTGGATCCAGGAAAAATTAATTCCAAACTTGCCTCATAGAATGGTGATCGTAATTGACAATGCAAGTTACCATAATATTGAAGTAAACAGAGTGCCAACTTCAAATACCAAAGTAGGTGAAATGAAACTGTGGTTGGCAGAACGGAACATTTCATGTCCGGCTTCGGCACTGAAACCAGACCTGTACGAAATAATACGAAAACACAAATCAATAAAGAATATAGACTAGACGCTATTTGTGCTGGTGCTGGACACTCTGTGATATGTCTCCCACCTTATCATCCAGACCTTAATCCTACTGAGATGGTGTGGGGCACTGTTAAAAATTGGGTGGGCCAAAGGAACATGACATTTAAGTTGGATGATGCAATGCATCTAGCAGGGGAGAAATTTAATTCCATTTCTGCTGAAGACTGAGCAGCATATTGCAATAAAGTGGAAAATCGAGAGGACCAGTACTTTACAAGGGAAATGGATATCGACACCAGGACAGACAATATAATCATCACATCAGATAGTGAGGAAAGTGAAACATCAGATGAAGATGATGAGTAAATAAGATATATGAGGTGTTGTGCCCCAACTTTATGTACAAGTGGATATATTTTTATGTTAATTAAGAATAGGTGTTTTTAGAAATTAAGGTTAAGAAATAGCCAAATGAAATATACAAGGAAGCAGGATTTGTTAAGAAGGTAACGAGGCCAGTTAGGCAATAGGAAGCTAGCCAGAATGTTACAGTGTCAGCTTACTGCTGCTTGCAACAAGGAAGAGATTTAGTAAGCTAGTAGCACAGTAAGGCGCTGATGCACTAAGAACTTGCTGAGTCAGAGAAGGAGTAGGGTAGGGAAAGCAAACCCCCGTCACCAGTCAGCCAATGAGAGCTAGCCACCCCAACCAAAATCACGTCATGATGGGCAGGTGTATACACGCCCAGAAGCCGGTGGTTAGCAAGAAGAAAATATAAAAAGGGGATCATTATTATTATGGGACTTCTTTTGTTGACTTTTTGTCCGATGATTGTCAGATGGAGATCTATATTTATTTATGGCTATCTTGAGTGTCGTATTCACGTTCATCACTGTTAGATTGTTATGACGTGATCCGCAAGAAACCTCGGAGAGAGAGATGACGCCGAGAGGGTGTTGGTTGGTGGTGTGTGCCAGTAATGTCCTCACAAGTAAGTGGAACTACTCCATATAGCCATGGACATTGAGCATGATAATATTAAAGTGTAAACCCCGAGGGAGTTAGGAGGAGTAACAGATGGACGAGGCTTAGGAAGGAAAGAGAGAAAGGGGGAGGTCTAGAAACCCGGAGCCAGGTGAAATACGTGTAACAGCTTCCGACTGAAGGAGTATGTATTTAAGCCTAAGGTACCCGACAAACGTCGGCAGTGACTGTGTGTATATATGTATATAGGGTTAGATGAATAGATAGAATAGGAAGAAGTATGTAAAGTCAATGGACCTCTCATCCTTCACAGCACACACCTTCCCCTGTGGATCCTTCATCCCCTCTAGCTTCTCCGGAGAACAGTGGACCTGAGCCAAGGCGGCAGAAGTTTAAGTGGTTAACGAGTCACTCGGCCCCCCTTTATGACAGAACTAAGTGGTGACAAGGGGTGGGATTAGCCAACGGAGAGTTGGCTGATGAAGTGAATGTATAATTTCTGTAACCACCCCAATTATGACATTACACAAGGTAGGACCAGTTTTAATTTTCACGATATAGACTACATTTTTAACACGGACACACTAGTTAATTCTACATGTACTTCCATGACGAATGGCTAAATTCTTTTCTTCATTACATTTGACTATTATATTTTAATTTTCAAAGTATAAATTAGTAATACACATTAAACATATTTTTCTTTGCATGATGAGTGACAATATATTTGTATTATTGTAATATGTCCTTCAAAAAGAGAATAGGGTAGTTTCAATGAAACACAAGGGGTTTGTGAAAGTGGAAGAACGAGTGTTAAGAAACTCCTGCCACCACAAGCTATGCACGGGATTTGACTAGGAATGCGGGGCCCTGTTCAGAGTTACGTGACACTCTATATATATGTCTCTACGGGCTCAATAATACTGTGTCTGCCACATTCCTTTATAAAATCCTCTTTTTGTAATATCTCAATGTGTCCTACACATTTCTTCTCATCTTCAAGTGTTGCCCTGTAGGTAGCTTCATCCATAAGTCACTCAATATTTGCCCTCTTAAAAGTTCTGTTTCTTTTTTGGCAACTTGCCTTATCATCTTTGTCCACTTCAATCTTGTCATATACTTGCAATGGTATTGTATTAAATGTGTAACCTAGTGATTGTTCATTAGCAGTTTGAAAGAGTGCATACAATTTGTTTGGCTTTCTGAGCTCTGCAGGGTTTAACACATGGAAGCAACTCTGCTCTGGCCTCTGTTGGTCCTGTTGCTGTACTGTTCTATTTGGGCCAGTTCATAATATGAGACTTTTTTGAGTCTGCTGAAAGCAGTCTGTTCAGCAAAATGGAATGAATACTAACCCTTCCTTTAGGTAATTAATGAAATCATTTGTAAACCTGTTTATGAACACAGCAACATTCATTTTTGAATGATAATCAAAATGTACATATCTTCTTTTAGATCAGAAAACCAATTTTCTTCCTTAACAAATATATTCTGTTGAGATACAGCACTGCACACTATTGTTCTGCTTCCCTTTCCAGCTTTCACTCAAGTAGTATATTGGGTGGTCACCTGATGAACAGTTGTTATTCACTGCCCTAAGAAATGCCACTCATACTACCATAGTACCATTTTTTCCATTGCAAATATCCTTTCATCATAAAATTTTATATATTTGAAACCAACATTCCATAATATTATTACAAATGAGACTGGCCCAAACACTTTGTTCTGCCTATTATGTCAGAAAGAGCACCATTGTACTCACCGAACAAATTTTTCAGCAGGAATACACCCAGTAATGGGATCAACAGCCTCCCTAACTGCCTTGAGATTTGCATGTGCCTCACATATTTCCTGGACAGTCATGTGCACCTCTTCCAACTCAGCCTTGAGATCGGCTCGTGCCTTTGTAGATGTGACATGAAGCTTGTCAAGTGCAGCCTGCAGGTCATCTGTTTCATGACCTGCAATGTCCTCCTTAATGCTCATGTTAATCCTAAAAATTTATTCAGAAGATTAAAATCGGATGATAGAACGTTTTCTAGTACTTACTAAAATTACACCTGGACATAGTTTTGCAGTTCTAGCTTCGAATCTTCCAAACTATAATGTCTAGAAGGAAACAGAATTGTTTCCATACTAATTATGAGCTACACAGTACCCATAGCATGGCAACCAGTTAGTAATTTCTCAAGCAGGAGTACTGGGAATGTTTTTCTCTCCATCACTATATCCAGAATGCCAAGATCCTGTTTGGTATGAGCTAGAAATACTTCTCCCCGAACCACAGGAAACTGTAGGATAAAAATGACAAATGTATGAGGCTTTGCTTCTGACCTCTGGCACACTCTCATGATATGGTGTTTCTGAAAAGAACACCTCCATCTATTATCTATGCTTTTCACACTTACATAGAAGAGGTGGACAAATAATGGAAACACCAAGAAACTGAGGAATAGAATATGTGTTAGCTACATTGAAAGAACTTCAGTTGGCAATACAGAACATTCTTCTTAAGTTTGTTTACATTCTGTTGTCCTTATTTCAGTGCATTAGTGATTGTGTTGGGTGACAGTCCGTGTGAAAGAATCGGAAAATGGGAAACTTTTCTGCTTTTGAAAGAGGACAGATCATTGGTGTGTGTTTTGATAGAGCATCTGTGACAAAAATGCTACATTATTAGGTGCTTTGAGAGCAAGAGTTTCTAAGGTTAAGTCGACATACACAACTCATGGGAAGACAATATCAGTGAAGAGGAACAGTGGGTGAATATCAACACTGACAGAAAGAGATTGTCATACACTGAAGAGGACTGTTTCGAAAAATCACAGAACTACCGTGGCACAGGTGACAGGGAAAGGGTATCAAAGTATTTCAACCTAAAATGCAACACAATGATGCCACAAACCAATCATTGGATATACCTTGGACGTCGATCTAAACCATATGGCATCAACATGGTGGATCCTGAAGGCCGAATGATGGAATGAATGCAGGCAATGCTTCCTGAATCTTCTGTTCCCCGACGAGAGTTCAGCATGGAGTGGGCTGATGTAGATCTGGGGTATAACAACAACTGTGAGGAACCTGTATGTGGTCTAAGTGGAACTGCATTCACCATCTCTTGCATTCCTGCAGAAAATCCACAAAGTTCAACATAAAATACAACCTGGCTTTAACAAGAATGGACAGATGCTTGCTTACAGCATTTAGCACCATTCTCTGAACTTAAAATACATTTTATTAAAAAAAAAAAACAAAAAAAAACTCCCTGGTTTTAGTCTGTAAGCGAACTATACTGACCGAGTGACCGCCACTTGTCGGCAAAGTTAGTGCCAGCTTTAGTGGATAGAGGGTGTTATGTGGTCAGTGCAACAAATCCCCACGACCGTTAATTTCGGTTTTCTAGACTGGACTATTTCCTTAAAATAGCTCCTCAGTTATCCTCATGAGGCTGAGTGGACCCCGTTTCAGACCCACTACTTCTCAGAAAATCTGGTAGCGCCGGGAATCGAACCTGGACCTCTGGATCTGTAGCCAGGAACTCTGACCACTAGATCACAGAAGCGGCCATATTTACATTTTATTACATTTTTCAAATACAGTTGTTTTTTGTTCATCATCATCATCACTGTCCTTTCCAGTGGGTCTATTCAGACCTGTTACAGATATTACGAACATAATCTCTTCAAAAGGCTTACAAAACTTCGTCTATTTCTCAGTGATATTTTAAGATTTCTTTTCTGGAATCCTGTCAGAACTCATCCTATCAATACACCATTTCAATACACCAATTCTGTTATTTGTGTTTCAAACACAGTTCATTTTATAAAACCAGCTCATCATCATCAGTAATCTGTCAAGACGACAGATCCACAGTCTCTTCCAAAACAGTTCTTCCACTTAATGCGATCTAGAGCTTTCTCCTTCAAATGAGAATATCCTCTTCTGTCCCCAAGGTCATCCAGCATCTTCTTACGTCTTCTTCCTCATCTTCTGGTCACTTCTATCCACCCCTCTATCTTTCCTTCAATAACTTCTTTTAGAAGGCAGTTACTGCGTAAGATATGACCAATCCTATTAGCCTTCTGTTTTTTTATTTCATGTAGGATATTCCTCTGCTCACTGACTCTAAATAACACTTCTTCATTTCTAACATAATCGGTCCAACTGATCTTCTCCATCCTTCTCAAGTCGCAAAAAAGCCAGCTATACTATATAAAAATTATATCTAATTAAGATTTATAATTTTAATTTTAAGCTTTCTTTGATTTGATATATTTAACAAAATACAACCAATAAATAAAGATTTTATATTAAAAATGGTTTCTTTCCAACCAAAAAGAAAACAATGAACCAACTGAATAAACCTAAGTAGTTTTAGTGTAGCTTCCACACCAGAGTTTGTCCAAGTGTAGCAAGCTGTTCTGAGGATGAAAAACAGGATGGACACAAAGCTTCACATATATAATGTATTCAAAAGATATTCTTTGTTTTGTGCATTATACACACCTGATACACTGGGAAAGAATCTACATTTTTTAAACTCGTGTAAGTAAATACACTGTGTAGATATGAGTAATCCGTGTTTTGTTTAGTGAATTCTCAATCTGTAATGTTAATCACTTAAGGCTAGGATGGAATGAACCATGTTACTTTTCTGCAAAAGAGACGTACAATTTTGAAGCAAGCACTAACAAGTTTTGTTGAATGGTGGAGCTATACCTCCACTCCTCCATACATTATCTGGTGTCGTGCTTAATTAATTAAGCATAGGGACAGGTCTTTTTTACCTTAATATGACTCAAATAGTTTTGCACAAGTTTATGGGATAGATCCACACAAGTGCAGATGTAGGGTGAGACTGGGTGATAGACTGAGGAATATGATTTTAGTAACATTTAATTTCATTTATTCACCTTCCATAAATCATGTCGAGAATACAATCTCATGCGGATGTGGAGATCGTCCTAGTTACAGTCACAACTAAGAATTACAATTGTCATCCAATAGCATACACATTTGTAATAAAATACTGATAAACACATACATAGTATCTCTGTTTTTGGAAAGAGACTGTCGATTTAGAAGAGGAAAAGGAACCAGAGATGCAATTGGAATGATGAGAATTATAGCAGAATGAACTTTGGAGATAGATGAAGAACTGTGTGCTTGCTTTATAGACTGGCAGAAGGCATTTGACCATGTAAATTGGACCAAATTAATGCAGATCCTAAAGGAAACAGGTATCGATTGGCGTGAAAGAAGATTGATTAGTAAATTGTACATGGATCAGAAAGTTAGAGTG